CAACAGAGCAAGACACTGTCTCAAAAAAAAAAAAAAAAAAAAAAAGCATTTCCAAATAGCCAGTATGAATCAGATCTTAATTTTCCTATGTTTAATACTTTGCTTTGGATTGAACTGTTAGAGAAGGACGTCAGTAGCTAGCCACTGAGTTCCAAATATGTTATTTTTTTCCTATGCATTTCTCCTTTAGCATTCTACCTCCCCGCTCCCAACCAGGACCATCTTGAGAACAGTGTGACCTGCTGCACAACTTTTTCTCCCTTGCGAATTTTGTTTGGGGAAAGCCACATTTCCCACCTAGCATCACAGAGTGTGTTTTCCTTTAATTTTATAATTTGCAGCTCTACAAAGACTCCGTTGATAGGGACAAGGTGTGTGAAACAATAATTATGTTTGTGGAACCTTGTCACATTTTCTTAGAATATTATTTTAGAAAGGTCCGGGCATGGTGGCTCATGCCTGTAATCCCAGCACTTTGGGAGGCTGAGGCAGGTGGATCATGAGGTCAGGAGATCGAGACCATCCTGGCTAACATGGTGAAACCCCATCTCTATTAAAAATACAAAAAATTAGCCAGGCATGATGGCGGGCACCTGTAATCCCAGCTAATCGGGAGGCTGAGGCAGGAGAATCGCTTGATCCCAGAAGTCAGAGGTTGCAGTGAGCCGAGATCATGCCACTGCACTCCAGCCTGGGTGATAGAGCGAGATTCTGTCTCAAAAAAAAAACAAAAAACAAATAAACAAACAAAAAACCAGAATATTATTTTAGAGAACAGCCCTAAGCCAAGACATTGGGTCTTATGATCCTTTTCAAAGAAAATCGTTGGGCTCGTTAATCCTTTGATTCAAGTTCTTTTTTAAAATGATATTTTCCAGTTTGACTAATTGAAGATTTCCCACTAAGATAAATGGAAGAGACTTATCATTTGATCAAAATTATAGCAGCGCTTGATGTTTGCATACCACCCTACAGTTTTCAAACAAAATCCATTTACATTCACTCATTTAATTATCCCCCTGGTTTTTCTGGATAAGCAGAGTTTCCCATGGGTGGAATGCTTCCATTCGTGGGAGTACTTTATATTTCCTCTCAGATTTATACATTTCTAGTTGGCACAGCTTCTGCCATTCAGATGCAGGAAATAGAGAATGCCACCAGAGAAACAGATGGAAAGACCAGAAACAGATCCAAGTATGTGTAAGTTCATTTGTTCATTCATGCATCCATTCACTTATCTATATATTCATTATTCATTAAACAAATAGTTATTAAATGTACTATGGCAGTGTCTCCCATAGTAGGTAATAGGATAGGATGTTTAAATGTAGAATGCTGGAGTAGGAAAGCTTCCATGTAAACATTTGTTCAGACACTTACTAATTTTAAGTTTTTCACAATTTTTTAATCTAGGCAATTGGGAAATTATATAGTCAATCTGTGTTTTTGTGGTATAGCAGTGCTCTGTTTTCTGTTCTAACTTCAAAAAACAAATGGAAACAGAATTGCCCAGTGATTACAATGGCACTAGCCTAGATCAGCCAGCATTTAGCTGACTCCCAGATGTGTGAGCACCCAGCCAAGATCAGCAACGCCCCCCGACTGGCCCTATTAAGACTTAAAGGTAGTCCTAAAATTAACATAGCAGCTTCTTTCTGATCCAGATAGAAGTACGTGTTTAAATGTTTCTAGCTCTATGGTAATGTCTGCCATGGCAGCAGTAGCAATGGGAGCGGCTGTGTTGAGGCAAGAGTGAGGGTTCCAACTTTCCTGCTGATCTGGGAAGTATTGGATGTGGAGGGTTGCAATGTGAGAGAAAAAGCAGCAGGTAGACCTAGGTCTCTTGGTGAAGTCAATGAGTTTGAGTAGTTCCTTGCCAAAGACTGGGCTGGCTTACATGAAGATGCACATGTCTGGGAAGATAACTAGGATAATGCTTAAGGCCAGAAGTTTGAGAATTCAGAAAACGGGCACTTGTTTACTGGTGGGAGTAAACGTGCTACTATTTTGAATAACCTGGCAATGTGTCTTTTTTTTTTTTTTTTTTTTTTTTGAGACAACGTCTTGCTCTGTCACCCAGGCTGGAGTGCAGTGGGGTTGATCTTGGCTCACTGCAACCTCTGCCTCATGTGTTCAAGCAACTCTCCTGCCTCAGCCTCCCATGTAGCTGGGATTACAGGCATGCACCACCATGCCCGGCTAACTTTTTTGTATTTTTAGTAGAAACGGGTTGTCACCATGTTGGCCAGGCTGGCCTCAAACTCCTGACCTCAAGTAATCCACCCACCTCGGCTTCCCAAAGTGCTGGAATTACAGGCATGAGCCACTGTGCCTGGACAGCAATGCGTATTTAAAAGTTGTACTTTTGAGTTAGAAGGATTTATTTTGACCCAGCAATTCTACTGACAGGAATTTATCCTGCGGAAATAGTTGAAGGTCTTGCCAAGATACTCATGATATATTATTAAATAAACAAACTGACCACAGAATAGCGGGTGCACATAATTCAGTTTTTAATGCATATGCATACATATATCACACCTAGAAAAAATATGGAAAGGTTTTATATGAACATAACATTATTAATATTTCTGAATAGTGAGATCATAAACAATTTTACTTCCTTATTTCTTTTTTTGAGACGAAGTCTCGCTCTGTCGCCCAGACTGGAGTACAGTGGTGAGCAATCTCGGCTCACTGCAACCTCCGCCTCCTGGGCTCAAGCAATTCTCCTGCCTCAGCCTCCCAAGCAGCTGGGACTACAGGCACACATCACTACGCCCAGCTAATTTTTGTATTTTTAGTAGAGACGGGGTTTTACCATGTTGGCCAGGATGGTCTCCATGTCTTGACCTCATGATCCACCTGCCTCGGTCTCCCAAAGTGCTGGGAGTACAGGCATAAGCCACCATGCCTGGCCACTTCCTTATTTCTTTAGCTTTTCATTTTCTTTCTAATTGTTTTTTAATGAGCATGCATGGCTTGTGGAATTTTTTTTTAAAGCACAAAAAGATTATTTTTAACAGAAATGTTTTACCTGGCAATGGAAAATATAGTGACATTGGTATCAGGGAGATAAATTCAGTCCAGTCCTTTTGGGAGAGCAATTTACCATTGTACCAAAGGTTATAAAAATATGCAACTCCTTTGATGCAAAATTTTTTCTGGAACTGGAATGAGATGTATCATCTCCAAGCAATAGACTGGAGATTCATTTGTTGGGGTTTTTTATGTTTGTATTTTCCAAGTTTTCAGAAAAGAATGTGCAGAAGAGAACAAAGGTTGTAAAAGAAATTAGAGACTCCTTGTAGGTTCCTATGTTTATATCATTTTCTTGTCAAGGAAATGAGCTACAAAGGTGCCAGATCTAATCTTGTTTACCCTTGTTGCTGCCCACACTTAGGCAAACTGTTGGTTCTCGTGTTTCTCATTCTGCATGCAGAAATATTAGTAATACATTAAAGAAATGAAAGTGGGCAGACATGCAGAAAGTTTTATGTCCCAGGACATTTAATTAGACATTCTGGACCATTAAAAAAAAACCCAGAACATGTCAAAGTAAAAGTTGTAAGCGACATGGCAGAATGGTTGTGCTGAGTACCTGTTAAGTGTGTCTTGACCTTGAACCCTGGCACGTGATCCATGGGTCTGGGAATTGTGTGCAGCAGGTACACAGCCTACCTGAGAGGTAATGGAGCCAGTGTTTTAATAAGCCCTGCCATACTTAGAAATTCAAATCCATGTTACTGCCTTCCACGAAGGGAGGTTATAGAATTATTCTAGTACTTCTGATAGCCACAAAGGTAGAAGGAAGTGTAGAATGAGCCCCCTGTAGACTCATCACTCAATTTCAACAGCTGCCAGCATTTGCCAACTCATTTCATCTGTTTTTCTCCCACCTCATTTATTAAAGTGTTTTTTTAATTTATTATGTCAGTTCACCCATAAATACTTTATCTCTTATCTATTTCACCGATAAATATACTCATTTCTAACTGATAAGCACACTTTAAAAATGTTTTAATATTATTATCACTTTTTAAGAGACAGGGTCTTGCTATGTTGCTCAGGCTAGCCTTAAACTCCTAGTCTCAAATGATCCTCCTGCCTCAGCCTCCCAAGTAGCTGGGACTCCAGACTCACACCACCACACCCAGTTAGAAAACATGTTTTCTAACTAGTCAACATACCATTATGCCACCTAACAAAATGAATGGTAAACCCTCAGTATCATCTGACATCCAGATTGTATCTTAATTTTCCCAGTTGTTTCCAATTTTCTTTGTTGCAGTTGGCTCCAGATATTATATTTGCTTACTACATTTTATGCCTTTTTATAAATGTTTTACAAACTTCTGTCATTCAACAAACTGAATGTATATCATTGCACTTCTCTGTGCAACACAAGAAAATTACAACGTTTCCTTATCATCATCCTTACTATTATACTCTTAGTAAGGCCTTGTTGCATAGTTTAATCATCTTATGTGTCAGACTCAGAATGACCTCTGGCTTCTTTTTTTTTTTTTTTTTTTAATTTTTTTTTAAATAGAGACAGGATCTTACTATGTTGCCCAATCTGGTTTCAAACTCCTGGATTCAAGCAATCTTCCTGCCTCAGCCTCCCAAAGTGCTGGGATTAGAGGTGTGAGCTACTGCACCCAGCCTCTAACTTTTTCTCAACATTAAATCCACCTCAGTGTCCACATACTTTCTGCCAGTGAGGATAATTAAAACTACCTTCAGACAGTGCTGTGGCATCTTCAGGTGGATTCAGAACAAGATTCCCCAAACCAGCCATGGGCAGTGAATTTCGGGGTAATAGTTCTCGGTGTGTCTGGTTTGGAGGATCCTCTTCCCTTGTTGTAACATCAAAGACAGATCTTGGCACCTCATCTGCATGAACTGAGTGTATAAATGCCTACCTGCTTGACTTACCTGTTCTGACAGAGGCTACTGGACTTACCACTGATGTAATTGATGTGTTTGTTTTCACACAGATTATCGCTTATCAGCCATATGGAAAATCTGTGGACTGGTGGGCCTATGGCGTCCTGTTGTATGAAATGCTTGCCGGGCAGGTAATGTTTTGCTACATTTTCATGTTTGTTTATTGCTGTGTTATGTGAATACTTCAGCTCTGGTTGGGCCTCGAGAGCAGGACCTGACGTTTTAGTGTGGCTGGTGGTGTTGGCGTGACGTCCCTGACCCAGACGAAAGAGGAAGAAACTCCCCCTTCAAAGTGGATCACGTTCAGTATGCACAGAAATTATCACTGGTCATAGAAACTCCATATTGAAAGCTTCAACCTGGAGTGTAGACAGTGTCAGTTTCACATTATGAAATGTGCATGTTGGCCAGGCATGGTGGCTCATGGCTGTAATCCCAGCACTTTTGGAAGCTGAGGTAGGTGGATCGCCTGAGGTCAGGAGTTTGAGACCACCCTGGCCAACATGGCAAAACCGCCATCTCTACTAAAAACACAAAAATTAGCCAAACGTGGTGGTGCACGTCTGCAAACTCTGCTACTTGGGCCGTTGAGGCATGAGAATTGCTGGAGCCTCAGAGGCGGAGGCTGCAGTGAGCCAAGATCGTGCCACTGCATTGCACGGTGTCAAAAAAGAAAACTGCACGTTGATGACAGCAGTGGCCTCTTAAGTTTTCAGTATCTTAAAACTGGGGTTGGGTTATGGTTCCCTGCAAGTTTGTCTGCAAAGATTGCCCCACCTGCTGCCCATGTGTGTAATTAGTAGCAGTGTTTAAGGAAGAAGACAGTTACCTTGAAGAAGCATTTTAATAGATTCTCCCCATCTCCTCCTATCTCACCTTTGGCAATTCATTGTAATTTTCACAGAAGTCCAGTGAGGCTGAACTTCCAGTTAAGGAAGGTAAATTAGCTTTCCCTTATGATGTGAAATGTACCAGATAACCATGTGCCTTATTGCCTTACATGGTACTTTCTAATATAATGGCTTAGTATCTGTGTCATCAGGGTGAGTCGTACTAGCTGCCACCTCTAGGCCTTGCCCCTAAGACATCCTATGTGACTGTCCTCATGCTCTCAGCTGAAATTAGGAGGAATTAATGGAGAAATCTGAGACCCTAATAGATGGTGGGGCTGACAGATGCAAGAAACTTGAGTCCTTGAATGACTCTGTGGATCAGTGCCCCACCCCCACATAGGACACATCCTTGGCAAAGTCCTATGTGGGGGTGGGGCACTGACCCACAGGGTCATTCAAAGACTCAAGTTTCTCGCATCTGTCAGCGCCACCATCTTTTAGGGTCTCAGATCTCTCCACTAATTCCTCCTCCTTTCAGCTGAGAGCATGATCAGTCACATAGGATGTCTTAGGGGCTGGCCTAGAAATGGCACGTATCACTTCTGCCTAGGTTCCACTGGCCACTTGGCCCCACTGGGACACAAAGAGGCAGTAAGTATAGCATATCTGAGAGCTCAGCAGGGGAAGCAGGCTTGGTAATCACCCAGCAGATCTCTGCCTTATACTACATATGATTCGGCCGTGGGCAGCTTCTTATAATTCCCAGCACTCAATGTGCTAGTGCCAAGATCTGTGACTCTCCATAGCCAGAAGCCTTAGTCAGAGACAATGGAAAGAGATGGCCATGCCGTGCAGCAGAGCCACCCCCAAAGACATCTTTGTTTCTGGGGGAAAAAGTCTTCCCTTCCCACATGTTACGTCCATTGACTCATTTTTTCATTCACTCACCACGTATTTATTCATTGAACGCTTATGATGTGCACAGCCATAAGGGTGAACAAAACAGATGAGAATCCTTACCTTCATGAAGCTTACAGCTTAGAGGAGGAGAGACAGCAGACAGGTTAGATAACGAAAATGTGTAACACAGCAGAGATAAGCTAGGAATAAAAGTAATAAAGCAGGAAAGAAGATCGTGTTGGGGGAGGTTGAAATTTTAGCTAGAATGACCAGGGAGGATAAGGTTAAGACCTAAAGGAAGTATGGGGATGCCTGTGTGCATATCTGTTGAAAAAACATTCCAGGCAGGGGGAGCTGCCAGCGTGAAGGCCCTAAGGCTGGGGATTGTGCAGCCGTGTTTAAGAAATGGAAGCTAGAGCAGAGTTGAGCTAGAGAGAGAAGAAAGTAGGAGGCCTGAGGCCAGAGAGGAAGAGGCTCTGGGTCCTATTGGTAGCAGTGGTGCATCCCTATGAGGCTGCAGCAACCTCAGTTACTTGCCTCCTCAGGAGAAAGAATTTGACTGCAGGGCATCAGGTAGAGTGAGAGCCTAAGACAAGTTTTTTTTTTTTTTGAGACGGAGTTTTGCTCTGTCGCCCAGGCTGGAGTGCAGTGGTGCGATCTCAGCTCACTGCAACCTCCACCTCCCGGGTTCAAGCAACTTTCTGCCTCAGCCTCCATAGTAGCTGGGATTACAGACACCCGCCACCACGCCCGACTAATTTTTGTATTTTTAGTCAGGCTGGTCCTGAACTCCTGACCTCGTGACCCACCCACCTCAGCCTCCCAAGTGCTGGGATTACAGGCGTTGAGCCACCACACCCGGCCGAAGACAAGTTTTAGAGAGGAATGAAAGCGTATGAAAAAGCATTCGAGCAGGAACAAAAGAGAATAAAGTGCATTTGGAAGAGGGCCAGGCCGGCGACTCGAGAGATCCAGTGCACTCTTGGACTTCTGAGCTGGGGGTTTACACATTGGCATTCTTCCAGGGGCTTACATCTCTTCTCCCCTGATTCTTCCCTTGGGATGGGCTGTCCGCGCGCAGTGGCCTGCTAATGCCTGGGAGGGGCGGCATGTGCAGTGTGTTTACTGGAGTTACAGGCGTGCTCAGCTGGGGCATTCTTCCCTTACCAGTCAGACGTCCCTAGGAGGTGGTGTACTGCTGAAACTCCGCCATGTTGCCTCTTCATGCGCATGCGTGAGCCCACTCGCCCAACTCCTGAGATCTTACCGGGAAGCTGCTGCTCGCCAGTTTCGGGTGTTTGTCTTTATTGGGAGACTGCCTTTCCTTGGTGCTGGCTGCGACCAGTTATTACTTTAGAGAGACAGTTAACCACCTGACCATCACGTGATGGTCGCCTGAGTTTCCTGGTGGGTAGGAGGAGCCCTTTCCTGCCCCGCTCGTGTCCGAACAGCCACCTGTTGTAAGGCTGCAAACATGAAGGTCATCTCCGGACCAGGGGCTTTGTCTCTAGGATGGGAGGCTGTGGATGATCTCTCCTTTTAGTGTCTTTCTTTATATTTCCTAAATACTGAAATAGTCTTGTAGACATTGAAAGACATAAAGCTTTAGCTTGCATTTGATCATTATTTCTCAATGGTGTTAAGACTTGACTGACATCAAAAGAGTGGTTTATTATTTATTTAGTGCCCCCCTCCCCCCCGCCCCACCAAAGCGTTCCTCTTAGGCCATATACGTCTGTGTGTAAACACAGAAAGGCAGTTCATACACAATCACTGTCAGTGAGTCAACAGCTGGGGAAACAGGAGTTGTCTGCTCCTCAAGTTAATTTCCCCTTCCTTAAAATTTTGACAGTAAAATTCGGCTCTGAATTACAGGCCTCCTAGGAGCCCTGCTGTTGATGAAGGCGCAAAAAGCCAAGTCCCCCTCTTGATCCCACTTTAATGTTCAGCTCTTGAGTCCAGAAAACAAACCCTGCTTTCATTAACAGTTACATTTGCATACACTAACAAGCAAAAGAGGCTGGGCGGAAACGAAGCCAGGATCTGTTTCCGAGGGCGCTTTACAAGAGGTCACGTGAGTAGACTCTTGGCCAGCAGGAGACAAGAATTTCAGAAACCGGCCTGCGGGAAAGTCCTCCTCCCTCCCGCTGCCTGGCTTCTCTCCTCTCCAAGCCTTCCTGGGACTTCATTCCCTAGGGGAGAGCTCAGGGAATGCTTTTTTCTGGCAGGGAAGTCCCATTTGTGGTGCGTTTTGAAGCCCTATGACACGGGCCTCAGACCTCGTTTGCAAATTGGCCTTGAGGTGGTTTCCAGGCCTTATTTAAAGGTTTCCCTATTAAGCTTACGCCCCCTGGAGAGCACTAGGCTCCTGCTCTCAACAGCTCTGCAAACTTTCTGGCCTATTTCCAATATTTCCCATGCTGCTTCTCAGAGCCACTTAGCCTGCCTTATATGCATACCTTCTGGTCTCCATAATCTCTGTTGAAAACGGTGATATTCTTTAAAGATGACATCTTAGACCAGGCGAGGTGGCTCATGTTTATAATCCCTTTGGGGCACTTGGGAGGCCAAGGTGGGTGGATCATCACTTGAATCCAGGAGTTGGAGATCAGCCTGGGCAACATGACAAAATCCCTTCTACAAAATATACGAAAATTAGCTGGGTGTGGTGGCAAGCGCCTGTAGTCCCAGCTACTCAGGAGGCTGAGGTGGAAGGATTGATTGAGCCCTGGGGTCAAGGCTGGCAGTGAGCCTTGATCACACCACTGCACTCCAGCCTGGGTGAGAGAGCGAGACCCTGTCTCCAAAAACAAACAAACAAAAAAAAAAGACTCCTTAAAGGCATCCCACACTCTGGTGCAATGGCAGGCACAGATAACAACAGCCTTTGTTCCTCTAAATCTCCACCTCACCTGCCACAAACACAGTGGTTTCATTCAAAGCCCCTTCATCTTTCTCTCTGACTCAATGCAAATTTAAACGTATTCCTAGGCTGCGACTCAGCTCAGAAAGGATAATGAAGGCTCTACCCAGTATTATCCACAGCCCCTCCAAGCTTCAGCAATCCTGGAGACCCAGCAAAGGGTATAGACGTTGTTACTGAAAAGTAAGATTAATGATAAAGTTGTTGACAGGGTTTTGGTCTAAGTTTGTCCTCTTTAATCGCAGAGGACTGAAGATGAGCAGGAAAAAAATAGTTTATTGCCATTTTCTTCTCATTTGCTTTATTTATTGTCAACAGCCAAGGGGGCAGTTAAGAATAAACAGCCTGAGTCTTTATTCAGTTCCTGGACTGCTTGACAAATACGAACACTTTTGGGGCATAAATAGTGTTTACCCAGCACTCTAATGAGCATCTTGCGCCTGGAAGTGTTCTCGGTGATCGTCATAAAGGGACC